TAACTCACAGTGACCTACATTTTATGTAAACGGTGATGAAAAGTAGGGGATTTGACAACTGCCACCATGGCAGTTGTGGTCCAGTAAAATGTACTGAAACTGCGTCGAATGCTTTCCTAAGAGGCATCCTCGATGTCACCTATTTCGTCGACTGGATTTGTTTTTCTTCTGTAATAGGCCCTTGATCACCCCCTGGAGCCCGAAGTGCAACACTCTTGCTCAACACATGGCACGGATCTCTCGAAATCTTTCATACCGCTCTAGTCTTGTATAGTGTCCACTGTTATGGGAAAGAAGCTAGAGAGCCTCTAGTACTTTGGATCATATGCCTGTTGTGTCCAGAAGAGGGTGCTGTTAACATAAACCCAAGAAGTGTTACATAGACATAACCATTATAAAAAAGAACATATGTATTTTATCACCTTACTTATGTGAGTGTTGGGCTTATATTAGTCAGCCACTCTTATGAAACTGGTTGGAATTTACTGCATCAAAGCTTGAGACTGAAAGAAACACAAGGGACGTTAAGCAACAATGTAGTCACATTAATAATTAATGAATACACTTTTGGATAGAATTGTAGCTTTAAATAAACACTATAAGAAACGAAGTTCAGTAACCACACCACAAATGCAGTTCAACATGCAAAATCCAAGCTTTCAGTAGTGATGGGTGAAGGCAATGATTCTCAAGTACAGCAAGCACTGTGGGATTTAAAACACACATCATGTGTTTTAAATGTAATGAAACTATTCTACCAATTTCTATTACACTGAGGATTTCAAACGCTACAGTGGTTTGGTGGCTAAACTAAGCTAAGCAAAAAAACCAAACAAACAAAAAACTAAGACAAAACAAAAATAAAAATATTTAAATGTCATCCTCATAAAGACTAGTAAATGATTAGAACTTTACATTAGCAAAACATTGTACCTATTTTTAAAAGTGTAAAAAAAAAACACTACACATTTAAGTGAACGTACTGGGTGAAAATTGTGACATCTAGTGGAGATAGGACAACATGACACATGTAAAAGTAAAATACACCTTCTACTCTCTATTGCAAAACACCACCTCATGAAGGTCTCCTTAAATTGTGACCACTACCCAGGAGAGGGCACTGTTTAAAACAGGACTGCACCATTATTTAAATAACAGAGAAAGAAAAAAACATCCTTACTTCCACATGGATTTGAGTGGACGGGACACTTTAGTCATATTTGGGCATTTGGGGCTGGCTCTGTGATGATAGCCTTTTGTGTGGTATGTACTGCATCAAGAGTTCAGACTGAAAAAGACATAAGGACATTTAGAGGAACAAACCGGTCCTACCAATATTGGCATACATGAACATAAACATTTAGGATTTGACATTGAAAACACTGAACATGCATGCCAGATCCATCTCCATTCATTTTCATTCAAACTGCATTTGCAACTCTTACATACAGCAAGAATAAAGCTTTGTGTGAAAACTTAGCTCTGTGTAGAAATTGGCCAAACTACCTTGAGTATGATTTAGGGAAATTTAGGGTGGAAGTGACTTTAAAATGTGCTTTACATTATATTATTACTGTACAGATTTCTTGGAATTGCATAGTAATAACACAGGCAGGCTGACGGCATAGTAGAAAATCTTAATTAAAAAAAAAAAAAAAAAAGACTGACATGATTTAACATTGTCACTTAAACAGAAATTAAACATTTCACTTTAAAAGATATTAAGAAATGCAAAATAGAGTGAGTATTTTAACATTACAGCATAGATGCACCTTTTCTATTTGATATTGGAATTGCTTATAGTGTCCAGCAGGGGGAGCCAGTTTAAAATTTTGGTGACCAAGACTTTGTGACGCATCTAGTAAATATTTCTTAAGTCCAGTAGGGGGAGCCATTTTTCACTCATGTGATGAAGAAACAACAATTACTTGTCATCTTAAATGCGGAGTGTTTTTTGTGTTCAAGGAGAACATTACTTAGATTAAATTGGACTATTAATAAACAACAATTGTTGACACTGACAAGTGAATTTAGGCAGTTGATGGCTGTGTCAATAAAACTGCTAACATAATTTGAGCATATTACACGTCTTTTCATATTTTATTTGGTCATTTTCTAATCAGTTTTAGACAATGTAATTTTCTTTAAATTATGAATATAAACCATAGTAGGCTACAGTTTTTGCCATATTTCAATGTCTAAAAGTCAATCACAATTTTGAAAAAAAAAAAATTTAAAAATAAATGAAAAAAATAAATAAATAATATGAAAAAAAAAATAACTTAAAATTAATAAAGCAACTTACACCCTGTATCTCCTTTCAGACATTAGACATATCATATATTATGTGTATTTTACAAGGACAATGACCAACCATAAGCATTAAAACAAAAGACTGTTCCTACCTTGTCGCAGTTCTACCTTCGTCAGCTCACCCTGGTCTCGTCTCGTGGCCCATCTGGTGCGCCCGACATCTGCAGACGGTGTCCAGCTCCTCTACGGCTGAGAGCTGCTCATGGCATCATTGCACGTCCTGATTATGTAAAATAAAATCCACATAAGTTCACAAGATAAACAAATACAAAATAATAAAGTAAAGAATATCTATCTTGAATATACGGTTGCAAGTTCTTGATGTTAGGCTTAGGCTAAGAGGAGAGTGGGTTGGGTGTGGGTTTATATAAACAAGCCAGTCATCTAGAAATTTCAGGAACTTTCTAGCAGTTACCAGAAACAACCACAAGGGTGAGCCGTTTCTCTATATTTATAAACGTTGCGTAACCTTAGTTCAGATTTTTTATATTTTTTTTGCAGTTATGTACGCATTTGTTTTATTTTATGGATATAATTTTGGCTGACTTTTTTAGAATCACATTTATTGTTTCTACATGTATGACTTTCATGCATTTTTGATGATTCAGTGGCTTACGTTGCTTCTCATTATTAAGCATTACATTAAATTATTCTAATAATCTACATCATTGGTCATAAGAAAATATGAGCCTCAAATGAACAAGTTAAACGTTTATAAATCTAGAACAATCCAGTGAAGTAAACGAGGAAAACAAGCGCCATCTAGTGGATACATGAGCACATGACAGGAGGAGAATGGAAATTTCCCGAACTTTCGAATGAGCCATGTTCCCGTAACGTGCGATGACTCACGTACACATCATGTGTTGCGTAATGTTCAAACCAACCACTTTAAGCACGTAGTTTTTCCATACATAATTATAATTTTTGACTATAACGTTATGTTAGTTACAATTTTATTTAAAACTAATTTCTAAGCAGTTTAAGTAGAAATAATATAAGCACTTTTCGAACTTTGGCTACTCATACTAGGCCATTTCAAGTTAGTATGCTGGCGCTTTTTTTTTTTTTTTTTTTTTTTTGCTTTGCTTTTTCTCTTGTTTAATCATATTTAGACTGGCCAATACTTTATTTACGTTTTAGCCGAATTTTTCAGTTTTTACAATATTTCTAGAACTACCATAGCAATAAGTTACATAATACCACACAAAATGTAAATTGTTAAAATAATTCTCTTCGTACCTGTTGACCGTGGTCCGTGTTCTTTGTTATCCAGGCGATGGAGGACAGTCGTTCATTTTGGATGGAAAAACACGTCGTCGTCCGCCAGCTTCAGTGCGAGGTCCGCCGGAGCCTTCCATCGCCGCTCTTCTGCCCGTCGTCGTCTGCTGGTTGTGGAGGAGTGCGGTTAGAGTTGGTCTGAGCCGGACTGACGGGGCGGCGCTACATTTATACGTTGATGTAACGATCTAGAAATTTCAGGGAAGTTCCGGTAACTCCCCCGCTGGTCCAGTGGGAGGCGTTGTTTATCTGTACTGGTCTCTCCACACAGAATGGTGCAGTGGAATTTTACAGCAACAAACTTTCACAAAGGTTAGGCTATTTCGAATATGTGCACTGCAAACTATACGAACACACGCCTATGGACTAACTTTTTTCATGTATACTTGTATATAGGCCTATACTAGTTGAATTTAAACACTTTTACAGCAGTGAAAATGAATCAGATGTTATAAAGGTGCAGCACTTATTTGTCTCTGTGCAATGTTATCGCTTTGCTTGGAAAATTCCACTGTTGTGTTACATTTTGCTTTTCTATCTTCCATATATGTTTATTGCAAATGTTTGTTGCTTTTACCAAAGGTGGGGACTTGTAAGTCGTGACTTGGACTCACTATTTTTAGGACTTGAGACTTGACTTGATTAAATGGACTAAGACTTGGGACTTGACTTGGACTTGAGGCCTGTGACTTGAGAAGACTCGAGAAGCACTTTTAAATCTGAATTCTTTATATTCTGACTGTAATGATTCACACTAAGATTTTGTCAAGACATTTGAAAAGGAAAAAATAACATTTCTACAACTTACATACTCTATAAATACTCATATATAAATACTATGATTTTTTTAAAAGTACAATTTATCTTAAAAGTCTTAGAAATTGCAAAAATCGAACTACTTTGGTTTAAAGACTTGAAATGACTTGAAGCTCAAAGCAGATGATTTGGACTTGACTTGGACTTATGGGCCAGTGATTCGAGACTTGACTTGGACTTGGCTGTATTTGACTTGGGACTTGACTCGGACTTGAGGTCAAAGACTTGAGACTTGCAAACCAATGACTTGGTCCCACCTCTGGCTCTTACTGTGAGTGGGTCATCTCTCCACAGATCTGACCTCTAATTTGGCTGGGGCCCCATCTGCTTGTCTTGATAAGTTTAGAGGCATACTGTGGACCATTTTATGCATAGCAGGCCAGCCTCCATCAGAAACTTTAGTGTACCAACATTAAAGTGGAATGAAACTTTAGTGCAAACCCAGTGATGGAGTTAGCCATTTGGGAGCCCTAGGTGAATGTGATAGAAATTTAGATTGTGTCTATGTGTAAATGAATGTGATTTCTACCTGAAACCCAGACCAGTCATTAACATGTGTAAAGGTTCATCAGACACAACTGTCTCCGCCTTCAGGAAGCCCTTTGTTGTCTTATCTGTCCTCAACTGTATGTTAATTTAGCACCACCCTCTGAAACCAAAGTCACTCTGCTTTGATATGTATGTAACTTGTATTTCTGTATGAATACTCAGAGCTCAAATGCTCTGGGGCAGATACTGGGGGAGAGACTTGGAAGCTGGGGCAAGATGTGGTAGGGACATACTGCTGGTGGAGAGAGGCTGTTGGGCTGTGGCCAGGGCAGGCCTAGGCCCTGTCCATATCTGCTGTAACAAGAATACATTTCGGTCTATATTCCAAAAACTCATCGGGCTTCGCAAATGGATTCATTATTTATCTTCAAGAGATATATATATTTTTTCCACGTCACGAACTTGAGTTTGGGTCCTCATTATAACGCACCGTTTTTTTGTTTGTTTTGTTTTTTAATATACTCATTGTCTGTTTTACCCCATTGTTCTTAAGACATGCACTTCTCTATTTTTTGTCTTATTTAGGTAGCCTACTAGATAACCAGAGCTGAAAGTAGTTTTTTTTTTTTTTTGCTAGTACAATTACATTTTTGTTTACATCCAGTACATATGATTATTATTATTTTTCTTATGATTTTTTAATCAAACTACTCTCTTTAATGTTATACTGAGAGAAAATCAAATTGCTCTGAGGCCTTGGACAAACCAGGTAAATTTGCAGCTTTCTGGTAAAAAAAAAAAAAAAAAGTCCTATATTCTGACTGTGTGTTGCCTTCAGTGGCCTCTGCAATTTCCAGTAGTTAGTGACATCACCCAAGAGTGCCCTAATTACAGCTAGGTGTTTCTGGTCACAAATGAGTTGTGTGGATACATGTTAGACCAATCCCTCTGTTAATTATACCTCTCCGTTCTCCCTCTCTCTTTTGTCCTCCAGGTACTGCCCAGTTTATCAGCTCTATTTGAAATGTGGATGTGGGCGGAATTTAGTCCCATATTAAATACAACTACTGTTACAAGAGATGGTGCTAATTATAATCAGAGATATAATAAAAAAGGGAAAAGGGAGGAAAAATACATCTTACACTGGCTGGCAAAAATACTGCATATTCTGGCCAAACTAGTGTTGTGGTAACTGCAGGATAGTTCACAAGTCCAGAGGCGTCCTGCAGACAGTAAACTGAAGGGGAATACTGATATCTTAAAACATGTCACTGAGCTGTTTGGACTACACCCATTCATTTGCACTCCTCCCTGTACACATTCAGTCTCTGATGTGGTCAGGCAGATAACCTCTTGAAGAAGACGATCTGGAAACGTTCATTTAAAGACAGGCAGGTCGGAGAATGGACTGGGTTCATAGGAGCATCATCAATTAAGTAAAGTTTAACTAAAGGGGGTTCATCCAAGTTTAGTCTGATCCAGGATGTCCAGAAAATTCAAGAATATTCTTTTAGTGACAGTACATGTCCACAGAGGGGAGCTGTTGTATCAGATATTGAGACTGTAACAACAAAAGCCTTTCATTTCAATAAGCCCCATTTCAACTGAAATTGTGCCTCAAATAATAAAGACAATATAAATTATGTGTAGATAACAGAGGTGGGACAAAGTTGTCATTTTGTAAGTCTCAAGTCTTTGACCTCAAGTCCAAGTCAAGTCCCAAGTCAAATACAGGCAAGTCCACATCGAGTCTCAAGTCACTGGCCCATAAGTCCAAGTCGTCTGCTTTGAGCTTCAAGTCATTTTAAGTCTTTAAACCAAAATACCAAATGTAATATAGCTTAGATTTTTGCAATTTATATGAATTTTAAACTAAATTGTAATTAAAAAGTCATCGTATATTCACAGTATTTATATGTAAGAGTTGTAGAAATGTTAATTTTTCCTCTGATCTTAGAGTGAATCATTACAGTCAGAAAAGAAAGAATTCAGATTTAAAAGTGCTTCTCAAGTATTCTCAAGTCAAGTCCCAAGTCACTGACCTTCATGTCCAAGTCGAGTCCCAAGTAGTGATGTACCCATGTGTCCTCGTGAAGCGTTTCGTACCTAACCCAAACTGTCCTGATACTGTGCCGGTACAGTGTTGCTGTGCTCTGACACCTGTTGGATCTTAAAGTATACATCATCGCAGGCAATTTAGTTGAGACTCGCAAAACACACTAATTGAATGACCTAGTCATACTTGTATACAGAATATTATTTAAGTTATTGTATTTCCTATGGTATTATTTTATATCTTATGTGTTATCTTTAGTTTTGTGAATGTAATTTACCAATTTATATGTGATTGACTCAAGGAGTTATTATTTATATAATATAATTATATAACTCAGTTAATAATTATTTAATTACATTTTCATAATAGAATTTAATATTATAAAGTTATAAAAAATCATTCAATCAACAATCTTTATTTTTATATAATTTTAATAATATTTTAGATAATTTTATAATATATATTTTATATTTTTATATAATATATAATATAATATATTATTAAATTATCACCATTATTATTACTATTACTAATCTGCATAAATAAACTCAACTTTACAATATATAAATAACCACTACAGAGCCACATCAGCCTGTTTGATAATATAATGTGTTTAATGCAGCTTGACACATTTGTTCACATTTACAGAAATTAAACTTAAAACCGCATGGCTCATTTACATTAACTATAAGCTTGAAAAAAGCAAAAAAAAAAAAAAAAAAACACCTTTCCTTGTGCACTGATGCAGTTCAGCTTCTGTCAGACTAAAGGATATGACTCAGTGGAATATGAGTGTTCTTCCTGTGACAGAGGGATGTTGATGATGCTGATGGTGAGTCTCTTCTGTGTGTGTCACTTTGGAGATGGTTCATGTTTTCAGAGATCATACGTGTGCAGGTTTATCACAGCTCTTTATTTAACAGTCATTTGACTCACTTTATTTAGATGATGTTAATCAAGAGCATGGACTACTTTTTTAAAATGCGGCTCGGGCAGTCGACTGGGTAGAATATTTTCAGATATTTTTAGTTGCGGGTGGGTTAGTTGAAAACGTCAGTCGGGTATGGGTCGTTTATACATGGGCCCGCTGAGAGTCACATTGCTGTCTTTTTTTTTTTTTTTTTTAAATTCTGATAGGTCAAGTGGAAACAAGGAAATACAGTTACCTTATTTGCTTTAAAAGATCAAGCAGTTTTTTTTCTTTTTCTCTTTTTTAATCTTTGGAAGAGTAATTTTCTTCTTTTAACAGTTATTCACCCCATTGACAGATGCAAATGTGTTACCTTTTAAACACAGTTTTCCGTGTCGGTGACAAGCGAAACAGCAGCAGTATCGGTCACGTTACTTTTTCTTAAAGTGACACGTGCATAGATATGGGGCTTCGCTCTATAAGCTCGACACATGCGTCAGTGCATCAGTATTGCTGGACCCATCACTAGTCCCAAGTCTTAGTCAATTTTATCAAGTCAAGTCTCAAGTCCTAAAAATATTGACTCAAGTCTGACTTGAGCTCAAGTGACGACTTGCAAGTCCCCACCTCTGGTAGATAATATGAAAAACTTTCTGCAGGGATCCATGCTGTGGAAGATTATAGCCAGTCAGGTTTGTGGAGATGCAAGGCCCTTTACACATATCTGCATCAACAATTCTAATAATGTAGTCCCAATTTTTGTCCACTAGATGTCCCTGTCTAATTTGTCCTTGAGGCCAATTGGTTGAATTTCACCATATCCATTATCCATGCATTACAGTACTTAAAGGGTTCAAATTATGCTCTGTGTTATAATGTTTCTT